CACTGGTAGATCGGCCTCGGTCCATTGCCGCGGCTGAGATGCTCTCAAATGGAATGTGTATCACCATGGCTCGTTTCGGAGAACGCTTCCGGCGCCTCCGAAAAGCAGTACATTCTCATTTACGTCCAAAGGCGGCAGAGGCATACCAAGATATGCAGCGCGAGAACGCGATGAACTTTATATTGGATGTGAATGACCAGACGAACTGCCAGAAGCCCTCCTGTTGTTCATCCTGAGCAAGACTAACAGTTAGCTTCTCACCTCCTACATCTGATATTATCTGCTGAAGTCTCCTAAGTATATGGTCGTGGCAAACACTCGTATGGAACGTGGCCTGGTGAGGTATCATGACACATTCCCAGACAGGCCAGTGGCGCACCTTAGAGACGTCTCCCGAAAAACGTGTGTGATCAAGAGTGCGATATACGCCTTGCAAACCCTACTTGGTGATGGAGCAGTGGTGAATTCGAATGGGTATCTGCCAGCTGATTTGTTTACAGAATCCGCTGTGCAAAGGATTTATCGCTGTTACGTCGTTTGGCAATCAGTCTGGGTTAACATCCTACCAAGCATGCTGTGGTGCAGTAGCACAAGTTAAATCACAATCATGCTCAGAAAGTCATGTGCTCTGGAGTGATCGCTTTTCTTTGGTCTACGCAAGGGAGTGAGACCCGCCATACTGGAAAGTTTGCTAAAGCAAATGGACAAGTGAGCGTAGCGTTCCTCGCCTTGACACTTCTCGCAGTGACGGTGCCTCGACGTACGAGACAGGGATGACCGACCAGCGGTATGCAAGGTGGAGTAGGGGCACGTGTAAATTTACCGGTTTCCAATTGTTTTGTACCTCGGTGATTACGTAGGGCATATGGTGTAGCTGGTTATCACATCCGCTTAGCATGGCGCTGACTGCGGGGGGTCTCCGGTTCGAGTCCGGATTTGTCCACTGTTTTTGCCAGACCTGACTCATCGCTTCTTTCATCCCGGGTCGGGGACAGAAGGTTCAAACATCGACCCTGGGTGCTTGTGCCTTGTCCGTTACTATCCAGGAGATAGTATTACTTCAAGGGTTACCCAATCGTGAACATTAATGCATACAAGTTTGCCGAGAGCCAATAATACGATAGTCGTGTGCAAGTTGGATCTCGTGAGCTGGCATCTGTGGGGCCCTGTAGGTTCTCCAGAGAGTTGGATGATTTTGTCCGTTGAATCCTTCGCCACATGTCATATTGAATGACAGAAACCCCTGCATGACGCGGAAGGAATTCACTGTAAACGGATGATGTACGTGGATTACATGCTCGGCATTTCGTGGCTCCACCAGCGAATTTCCCTCAACGTAGCCGGCCACTAGGGAGCTGGGAAATGCTCTTATTTAGAAGGTTGATAAGAGGTGGGCGCTTAAACCCATTGCACACGTGCGTTCTCTGAAGGGCCAATAAGGTTGCTCAAAATCAGTCATGCGAGGGATTCGACAGGGCTGCCCGTGATTATAAGCACGTTGTATAGGCAGTCTTACAGGCTAAGGTGATGCTGTCCATCCGTTACGGGGTCCAGAATGCCAGCCAATCACCGCTTGACAAACGTGTCGCATGTCGTTCATAAGCCCTTGCGGATGCGAATATGAACTGCCATATGCATTTCTTCCGACCCATTGCGATTGCACCTCTCAAAGGTCCAGCAAAAATGGACATGTACGCTGAAAGCACTCCACGCAGGGGAAAGCGCTTGCGTTCAGCCTCAGGCGCCGCTGTTATAGCTCCGCAGTCAGACAATCGACACTCTAGCCCGATTTCCAGCGATGACCAAGCTGAAGATGACGCTTACGATACTCCCCCAGCACCACAACTCAAACGTCGCGGTCGCAAACCTGGGGCGCTTTCACGCGCAGCACGTGAAGCTCAACGGAAGATTAATCACTCCCTCATTGAAAAAGCCAGGCGCACCAAAATTAACGATGCCCTGGCCGCATTGAGAGTGCTTGTGCCTGCGGAATACAAGCGAGTCAATGAAACTGCAGAGGCCAGCGATGAGGATGAAGACGACGAACCTAAGAAGGGAAAAGGAAAATCGAAGGCAGGAGAAAAGGAATTCAAACTTGAGATCCTGGTGCGGACAGTGGCGTACCTTCAGGACCTAACAGAGAAGGTGAAGCGCCTCGAGGAAGATGGGTGCAAGCAGTGCATTCACCAATCTTCTTCCGACACCAGAGGGTCCAAGCGAAGGAAACAGGACGTTGAACAAGAAGATGGTACAAGGACTGAAGTGGAGGACTCTTCCCCTCGCTTGCCATCCATTTCTACCTGGCTTCCACATTCATCGCAAGAACGGACTCAGAGAGCCCTGACTTCGTCCAAGTCACCATCCACCCGGCCAGTTCCGAGCTCCTCAAAGTCTCCATCACAGCAGCTCCCAACACCTCCAACTTCTGCAACATTCACGGCCTCCTCCGTCTTCGGAGTCCCACCTGTTCTGACCCTCCCTTCTCCGAGTACACTCCTTCCGCAATCGGGGACACAGATTCAACCTTGTTTTTCGGGTTTTGTTCCACGACGGAGTCCCAGTGATACAGCATCATCCTCGCCAGTGTACACTCCAGAGGATGAAACTGCTGCGTCGCTATTGTTGCGCATCAGTGCCTCCACGCTCGTGACCTCACCACAACTGTCACCAAAGCCGGCGTCCCCGTCGAGTTCAACGAACGAGTCACGAACAGGACATCCACGGGAGGAGCCTGTCCAAGCACTGACACCAAGCCATCTATTGGGTTTTACGGCGGGAAAGTGAAAACAGGCTGTGATCGGATGTCATTGAAAGACGCACCTCCGAGTCGATCAGACGATTTTCACCCTTCTTGATGTCTTGTATATGTCTTGTAGCTTATGGTTTTGCTCGTACTTCAGTTATAAGGACTGTTAGTATATGTAACATCACCTTTTGTAAAACATTGTACTATATTTCGGAATCGGAGGTGTGCTAGAACGGCGTTGTTCAGTGTTTGTAATAATACTTACTCGTTCTCTACTACGTCCGGTTTTCACTTTGAAGTTTGAAACTCATCGCTTGTATGTTAAGACCACTCTGCAAGTCTCTATCTAGACAAAGTCAACTATTTCACTGCAGCGGCGTAGCGCGTCAGGAAGCTGCTATAGAGACACAAGAGGATGCCGACAACTTGCAGGATCTCCTTCGGCGGAAACGAAAGACAGAGTGGAAGCGAAGACAAGGGGTGAGCTGCAGTCCTAGATATACGCGTACCACCTGTTAATTACATCGTGTAGGGTCAATCCTTCCTCGACAATCTTATAATCAACGTTCGGGGAGGTGTGTACATGTCTGAATTCACTTATGCATACTCAACACCATGCAGGCAACGGAGGTGACGGGTGTGTTGCTTTCCACCGAGAAAAATGGAAGCCTATGGGGCCTCCTTCAGGTGGTAGCGGTGGACGTGGAGGCGACGTCTATATTCTCCCTACACCCAATCTCACAACTCTTTCATCCATTCCAAAACGCGTACGAGCGGCCGCAGGCGGAAATGGCCAAGGGACATGGCAGAACGGTAAAAACGCACCGCCAACGATCATAAAAGTTCCTCTAGGCACAGTGATACGCGAACTTCTTCCAGGCGACTCACGACGCGCGAAGGATGAATGGGAAGCAGAGGAGGAGTCGCTGGAAGGACTCAGTCCAGAGGAACGTCGTGCGAAGCTTCGGGATGATAGATGGGTGCATTATCCGCGGTATGCGGATGATAATGTCAATCGTGATGTGTTCAAACAGGCGGAGGCGGCTCTGTATCGCGAGGAGAGAGCAAGGCGCTGGGCTAGGAAACAGAGGCTGCTATCACCTATCAATCTCGACTTGGACAAGACAGAGGAAGTCGTGATTTCTGATGATGCACCTCTTGGAATGGGCCAGCAGGAGTGGTTGGGACACATCGTCGCGCGGGGCGGCAATGGTGGGCTGGGCAATCCGCATTTCTTGTCACCCATCAGCCGTTCACCCAAATTTGCGACGCGGGGACACGAGGGTGAGCGCATGACATTATACCTTGAACTCAAGATTCTCGCGGATATTGGGCTTGTCGGGATGCCGAATGCGGGCAAGAGCACTCTTCTTCGCGCATTAACAGGCGGTCGAGCGAAGACCGAAGTTGCTGGCTACGCGTTTACTACACTTAACCCCATTGTTGGTGTCATACGTGTGGCAGAAGATGGAACCTTCGAAGGCGCCCTTCAAGGTGAAAATATTTTTGACGAAACTGCTATTGAGGAGGAACGCCTCCGGGAGCGTGAACTTTCCGACATAGAAAATTCTGAAGAACAATTGCGCTTACAAGACAATTCTCCTGATTCCCCCCGGCCTGACATAGAACCAGGTCACGACTTTGACGTTCATGAGACTTTTCGCTTCACCGTCGCAGACAATCCTGGGCTCATATCCGGCGCATCAGAAAATGTTGGTTTGGGTCACTCCTTCCTGCGTTCAATGGAACGATCACTCGCACTCGTCTATGTTGTGGACTTGTCTCGCCCAGAACCATGGGACGAGCTTAGAGATTTGAAAGACGAGCTAGAGAAATACCAACCAGGAATGAGCGATAAAGCTCATATGGTTATAGCGAACAAAGCGGATTTGTTAGGTGGTGAAGGGGATCGGGACGCAGTGGAAGAGGCACGTGAGAAGCTGCGGAGGCTCGAGGAGTACGTCAAAACGGAGATGATCGTGAGCACGTCGGACGGGGAGCGCACACTCGATGTCATTCCTATCTCGGCCAAGATGAGCCAGAACCTCAAGAAGGTGGTTGTGCTAATGCAGAAATATGTCCAGCAGGCTAGAACGGTAAAGGTTTAGCGGTTCGACTATGTATGTGATCATCTCGTTCTCTCTTAGGATTAGACTGATGTATATTATACAAAGCATCTACCTTCAGACGGTAATTCGAGCCCGCTGGCCATTTCTCGCACCCACATGTGTTGCTATGTTCCTGACAGGAAGTGCGATTGTAGCCCACATCTAGTAGGCGATGTGCGTACTATTGTGAGCTGGGGTGCGAAACAACGCGTTTCGTCCACTTCTATAGAAATGGGCCCCGTACCGATCATTGCTAGTGGGATGTCCAGCCGTAAGAGGATTTTATCTATCCCCAACCCGATGTCATGAACATAGCTCGTGGTTCTCTCGATGGTACACGAATTTTATCCACCATGTAACGTTGAGATGAAAACGATCTCATCGTTATTGCAAAGTTGGTAGGAACCTTCCCCTTCAAGCTCCCAGTCTGTGTTGTTGATCAGCACAAGGATCCCTGGGCGGCTAGAGAGACTATGAGGTAAAGATTCAGTAGAAACAGATACAACGCACATCGTCCCGTTCTCCATGAACAATTCCGGACGCTCCTTGAGTAAATGATCACGAAGGTGATAAATCAAGTACTCCAGATCTGCCGCCTTCGTCTCTCCCGTAAGAATATCGTTGTGTGATGAGGGGGTAGATGGGGATGAGGACGGAGAAGAGTGCGTGGAATTATCAGATGGCACAAGTGGTGGGATGAGCACTGATTGATTTCGCTCGTTGCCAAATAGTAACTCGAGTCCACCGCTGAATACAAGTTTGATCGTCATCGTGTCAGCCATCGTGGACGTTCAGGTCGATCAAGAATCGCGAACATGAAATCGATGAAATAAGTCCGATGGGTCATATCAACGCTATCAACGTAGTGAAGGGGATTCTTTTTGTAGGGCATATGGTGTAGCTGGTTATCACATCCGCTTAGCATGGGCTGACTGCGGGGGGTCTCCGGTTCGAGTCCGGATTTGTCCACTGTTTTTGCTATTATCAAATATTTTAACATTTGCATGATTCTCGAAACCTGATCAGAAGACGCCCGGGATCCCCCACACTTCGTGGCAGTTGGGGAAAAACAATTAAGTAATTTGTCGTATGTAACATGTTATTCATTCTGACGTTCCTCTATTTTCAAGGAGATCGTTCGAGCAGCAGTGAAATTTGTTCAAAAGCAAGCACCCAGCAAAATACAAGCTGAGTAGTAGTACTACTGGTGTCCTTCGGGCTCTGTCGCAGCGTAGTGCTCTTCACCACTTCTTGCCTTGCTCGCGACGCACAGGCACATAGTCGCAGATACACCGCTCCATGGTGAATCAAGCGAGTTCGTCTCGAACAAGCCATTGTCTTGGCCATTCCCCCCTTCGAGTCCAGAATCCAGAGTACACAGAGTTAGAGAGAATCTCGCTGAGTAATTTCACAATACAGAAGTTTGGACTTAGAAGCACGATTACCAAAAGGGTTTCTAGGCCACAACTTACGGCAATCGAAATTCGAGACTCACTATATATAGAGCTGTGTAGCATGGTCGACGTGTGTGCATTGTGGGAGACCACTCCATTCGTGGAGAGGCCCTGAAGATTGGCTGGCAACTTGAAGCTTACTTCCTTTTAACAACAGTCTCGGCATCAACGACCCAGAGAAACGGGAGATCAGGGATTCGTAGGCTTGCGTATAAATAATGTCATAAGTATGATACATATTAAGACAAAGTAAGCAGTGCGATACATATGTAGAGTTCACCAAGTACTGACTGTGGTATAATATCGTCATAGGCAGTCCAACCGCGCACATATCAAATGGTACAAGTACATCCTATCAACAATCAAGGAACCTTGAGTTCATTTTCGCGAGAACCAAATTCCGCAACTCTGACCTTCTCATGCAGGAGGAAGAGGCACGCCCTCTCGGATGGTATTAAATAAGCGATGAGAGATGAGCTTCTCTTCAACCATCTTCGTGAGGAGGTCACGCATCCAGACGCGACTTTCTGTGGTGACTTGATCATATTCTACATCCGCTGCGAGCTCAAGCAGTTGCTCGCGTTGCTCTGGTGTGAATATTCCCAAGGATATTGTCTGGTTTCGAGAGCGCTCCTTTGTATTGACTTTGAGCGCGTTGGGGTAATGGTACTGGTGCCAGTGTCCGTGCATCTCGAGCTGGGTGATATCCCAGACTTCAGTACCGCCGCTAAGAGCGGCATTCACCCAGTAGATGAGGACGTGTCTGGGATTGCTGTGGTCAGAGTCTTTGTGTAGCCCCGCGGCCTGCAGAAAGACTTCTTTGTTCGACCAGTCGTCGCCATACACCTGTGATAGATCTCCAGAACCTCTTGTTGGTATTGGGGTAGTTGACATCGTATGCAAGGGTTATGGGAGAGTCGTTGAAGATGACTTTTGATTGTCAGGATAACTTCGATGTTGCACTCTTTTTATTCTATGATGCGCCACAACTATGCCACTGGTACTGTGGCCACAATGCCCCCGAACCGCCGTCTTTCTTGTCCATTGTGTCGGCTATTAACTTGTAACAACACGACATGAAGACCATACGTATATTGGTTGGAGCAGGAAATTCAATGAGAGGTTGCAGGAATGGGAAGTTCGTTCTATATTCATGTCCGTCAGCCGATGATTACCAGCTGTCTTCTGACGTCAACCTACTATCCATGGTTACTACTGGTTACGATGTTGGCTCCGAACGCATGAATGTCATGGGCAGGATCCCCCATGCTGGGAATCGAAACCTCGTGATCCCGTCCTCGGTTACCTGTGCCAATTCCGCCCAAGGTGTATGCTCCAGGATGACAAGTCATCTGTCAATGGAAATGTTGACGAGCCACGCAGTGGCGATCTGATGACGGGAGCTTTGAAGGTCAGCAACTGGGTCCGGAAGGAGGGATAGCTGAAGACAGATCACAGAAGGCTAAAAACTTGAAAAGTGATTGACAAGTGCTAGAGTGCTGAGGTTATCACGTAAATTGTCAAAGGTTGATGGCACGTTATACAAAGCGACATTGAGATGAAGATACCGCATCCGCATCGGCGGGATGTTCCGCCTTCTAGATAAGATACATTCCGATATGGCTTCAGTCTCTATTGACACCGCGGAGAGTGACTGAGACTCTGAAGGGCTTCAAGGAATCGCCCATGTTCAGCAATTGTTGTAGCCGTCTGCATTTGACCTACCTGACTAGAACTTTCCCTGACAGGACAGTTCCAGCATGTATGTGCCGGGAAACTGTGTCTTTGCTCCGAAACCACAGAGGTTGCACATATATGCCGAATGGTGATCGGTGAGGTGCCGTATGCGAGATTCATGGCCGCCGGAGAATTGCGGCCATCAGCCTGAAAGCGTTACATTGATCTGCCGCTGAGCCTATGATTCATTTCAAATGGAACCAGATTTTGCGTTACAACGTTCCACGGCTATTGTGACACGTTGGATACAATCCCCGTGTCATGTTAGGCAGCCAACGCTTTCAGAGGCTGAGCTGAGTAGATCATGTCGATGAAAAGGTCCAGGAAGGGTCAACCTCGTGACTAGCACCGATTGGACCTCATGAGGTAGTCACGCCGAGGGGGTCGTGTGTAGAACCGATTTCGGAGCATTGGCAACAACACATACACAGGTCCTCACGGATATGACGTGTCATGAAGCACGTAGGAATCTGTAGGAATTCGACTCCCTTTCTTGTTGCTCTCGGCTATAATGCGGGTTAGATGGCATTTAGATGGCAGTACACTGTGACTCTTGATCCAGCATGGAAGCGACGAAGGAGGGCTTTGGCTGCTTTGACATGAAGATAAAAGGATGCTACTCACTAGCACCGGATCCTCGTGGAGACCCCGAGGTCAACTTCTAGAGGATGATCAAATGGAGGCCAAGCTAGCAGCTGTTCGGATATGAATTGCATGCTGATTGTTGTCCTCTCAGTGCTCGCCAAGCCAGTGCTCGAGACCCTCATCGTTGACCAGACAAGCAGGAACGCCGAGACCGACTCATCGCCAGCTACTTATCCTGAACGGAGTTAGTAGGTATGCCGCATCATGCCCTCGAGGCTTCACTAAAGGATTCCGTTTGAAACTGGGAAATCAATTGAAACGGAATTCAACGTGGGAAATGATCAGCTTCTGCAACCAAGTTACACGTAAAGGAATCGAACCGTCTCCGATTCTTTGTGTAAATTATCATCACCATCCCATTCACGGTTGCAACGTTGCTCGCTTCCCCGAACCCTTAAATTCAACGTTCTTTCATTACGCTCCCTCAGCTTTTGTTCTTGTATCCCACCAGCTCCAAAAAAATTTGTCTGTACCAAGTACCAAGATCCTAATTCAAGCCCCTCTTACGATGTCTGTTTTCAAAACTCTTGTTTCTCTCGCTCTTCTTGTTTCCACGCGTCTTGCGTTGGTTCAAGCCGCTGTCTATGTCAGTCGTCGCGCCATTCTGTATTTTTTCGTTCTGACTTTTTGATTTCAAATAGGTGACGAACCCGGTACAATCAACCGTTTGCAATGGAGGTCAGTCCTGCCAGGTGGAGTGGGTTGACGATGGTCAGAGCCCTCTCTTGAGCGACATTGGAGAATGCACTGTTGGCTTGTACAACGGCGAGATGGTAAACAAGTCGCAGCCCTGGTGGACTTTACTCACGCGTGTTGTCTCGCAGCTCCTCGTGCAGTCGCTGTCGTCCGTCAACGTTGCGGACACGCATTCCTTCTCGTTCACTGTACGTGTCTTTCATTTCATATTTATCGCCTCTCTAATCACCGAGCATAATTGTACAGCCTAGCCCATCTGCCGGTGACAATGGCGGCTAGTGTGTTCAACTTTTATTTCAACACGAGTTGCATCTAATGATCGATGCAGCTACCTGGTGTTCACCTCAACTAGCACCAGCTACCAGGGCTGGTCTGGTACTTTTACGTCAGTGCCCCTTTCCTTTGTTCAATATATCATGTCGATGACAACGCACCTTACAGCCTTAATGGTATGACTGGAAGTTCTGGTTCAGGTAGTTCTACCTCTGTCAGCGTTGTCCCATCTACATCTTCGACACTTTCAGGCAGTTCAACCGTAGTTGGATCTTCGACACTTGGAGGTAGTTCGACTGGATCCACCGCCTCACTTGGTTCTTCGACTTCAGTAGCTAATTCTACCTCTACAGGTGGCACTAGCACTGGGTCAGTTCCCACATCTACTGTCGTTGCAAGCAGCTTCACGTCACCTAGCACTGTTCCATCCGCCACGCCAACTTCGCCTACTGGCACAAGCAGCCTCTCCGCGCCCTCTACTGTTTCCTCTGGCACGAGCTCCCACAGTAGCTCTGCCAGCAGCGCGACCCCGTCGGCCTCCCAATCTGGCGCTGCCATCCGCTCCGGTGCTTCAACCTCATTGGCTGGTGGACTTATTCTTGCCTTAGCTGGTGCTCTGGCATTCTAGAATGTTGGTGATGTAGAGGTTTAGAGGGTTGTGACCGCGATACCTTTATTTTCTCTTTGAATGCCCTTCCAAAGACGTTTTGATGACTTGCCGATGGCAATACCTGACACTTTATCGTATTATTCTTGACAGTTTTCATGCATTTGTTTGTTGATGATACCATAGCTATCAGCTGGTTGACGTCAGGGGCGTTATCTTGTCAAGTTTAGTGAAAGCACATTTGACTCGGTTATCCTATTGATCATTGATCACGATATCTTAAAGAGATCTCAGACTTGGGGCATCCCTCCTGGCTCTTCGCTGATAGGGTTGTGACAAAATGAACATCGAAACAGGCCTTACACGCGCACTCGATAACATAGCTGGTATTCACTTCGCAGTCTTTCGTGTCCTTTGCCCTGGACTGGCGGCTAAGGGCAGATGGGCGCGCCACGGCTAAATTTGAAATTGTAATTGCTCGTCAGGGGGGGAGACGTAGGTGAAAGTTTTGAAACCTGACGTTGGAGTATTGCAATTTACACAAGCATGTGGTAACCC